GAATTGCCATGGATTGAACTTCTGCATAGAAAGCAAATGCTCTGTCACTGTCCTTTCCTGATGTATTTCCCACAATGAATACCTTTCCTTGGTTCAAAAATTGTCAAGATTTTGTGCCATCTTCAATGGGAGAACTCATAGAACACAAAGTCATTACACACAATCCTGTGGTTCTCAGAAGTTGGTGTGCTCTCCTAAAGAGGCACAGGTTTCTCCTTTTATATGCTGCTGCCAGCAATGGTTCTGGCTGCTCAGCCCGTGACTCAGAGATCCTTGGTATGCACTGCTGCCAGGAAGGCAGCAGCTAGAAAGTGCTGAGAAGGAAAGGGCTGGGGCGTGAATCTCAATTATTCCCAACACCATAGTGAAACCACATTGCTTTGTTCCCGTTGCAACCAGTTATCAGATCTGGACAGTGAAACCCGCAGCATGGTGGAGAAAATGATGTATGACCAGCGGCAGAAATCAATGGGGCTCCCCACATCTGATGAGCAGAAGAAGCAGGACATCCTGAAAAAGTGAGTAAGACCAGTTTGTGTGTCTCATGGGGAATATGAGGGGGAAATATGAAGGGTCGCTCTCTGAGCACAGACATCTGCATTTGTGCATTGCTGTACCACCAAATTACCTGTACCCTTGATAGTTTAAAATTCAAAATCAGTAAAATATCCGTATAGTCAACAGCATCACAAACCAACCCACATCTTGGTGGCCAATGAATGCAAGAAGTCCTTGTTGGTGAGAAATGGCTCGCCTGTAGCTCTAGTTCAGCTCTAGGTCCAGGGAGTAGGGCACTGTCCAGGAACAAATGACCTGGCAGTACCATCTCGGCTTTTATCAATTACGTGGTGTGCAACTATAATTTCCTCAGAGCCAGATTGCCTAACCTCTTTCACCCCAGCAATAGATGGATCTCTAGACATTCATTTATAGCTTTATTGCCCTGTTTGGCGGAGGTTGCCTATATGCTTCTGTGAGTAATTATCCTGTTAAGGCCATGCAGGGTGATGCTTCCTGCTCTCTGGGTTGGAAAGAGGGTAACTACAGGGCACACAGCTACCTACCTGGCAGTACCATCTCTGCTTGGCACAATTACGTGCTGTGTGACTGTAATCGCCATGTGCTTCAAAGCCAGAACAAGAGGCTGATCACAATAGCAGCATCCATAGCCTCAGAATGGTTCCACTGAAATTAATGGGTATGACCAGCTGAGAACTATAAATTTCAGTGGGTCTACTCTGAGTAGAACTGAGGTGCTATGCACTGTCTTAATATTGGCAAGCATCAAATGCAGCAGCATCTGCTTCTGTTACCTGTAGAGCTTCGTTCAATGCTTCAGAAGAAGTCTTTAGTGTTGCTGATGAGCTGAGAATTTGCACTTTCCTCAAATATATGTCCAAGTCAAAAACAGGGTCTTTTTCAAGATTTCCACCCTGAATCCTATTTTCCCTTCACTGCTGCTAATGGCTGTAATGGTAAGGAGGCTGGTTTAAATAATAGTTTAGCTGCTTCACATCTGAGCTCATTGACTTTGGGCCAAACAACCCTCAAATACACTAGTAGACCATGTGCAGTTATTCATCTAGTAAAGGTGTCCTCTTTCTTATCCAAGATTGCTTATTGTACTATTAAATGTACATCTACTGTGCTAACAGGTTGTGAGAGAATGGATTTGTAGCAGTCTTGTAAAAAAGCCCATGAAAGTTACTAGCCCGCTGGTGGCTGGCAAATGAGAGATGGGCATCCTGTTACATTTCTATGCTGGGCAATGATTTTTATCCTCTGACAGCCTACCTGGTTGCTTTGCTGGATACTCAATCACCCATGCACGGTTTTTTGCTGCCTGTGGCTACTAGACAAATACAGGCTGATAGTTTTAAGATTGCCAGTCCAAAATGACTTGCCAGATGACAAATGTATGGAACCTGGTAACTTGGAAGCATACAATCTCTTTGCTGTTGCTCACTAGCACAGACCTGCCTGTTTTGCCAGACTATGCATGTGTCCAGTGGAGTGACTTTAAGGCAATGCTTTGAACTTCATCCCATCAACTGGGCAATGTATAAAGATCTAACTTGCAGAATCATCGTTCATCTGTATCTTTCATGTGCTTGATGCACCTTAACCCACTTTTCCCTTCAGACCCCTTCCATATATTGTTTCACCACCACCACATTTTCTCTTCGTTTGAATGTTAATGTGTTTATATTCTTTCTTTCATTTGTAACTGGAGAATTGGAAAAATATAAAGAACAGATTTGTCACCAAAATAAACAAGGGCATGAGCTAAGTGCTGCATAAAAGACTGAATACTTCTGTGTAGTGTTCCTGGCATGCTTTTGGTGGTAAAGAGACCCAAGTCAGAGTAAATCTTCCAGAAAGATCTGAAGCCTGACTGTTAAACATGTTTTTCTCTAAGGTTCCCCTTCAGTCCATGGTGTTCTTATTGCACAAACAGAAATGATGTTTGCATAGACTTGAAAACTCATTTCTATAAGCCAGGTGCTACGTGTCTGAACTGAAGCTAATAGTTCCCAAGGGCACATTAGATTAATTTGTCGTTCCTCATTTACAACTGTAGTACGTCGTTATGGGGCAATTTTACTGATACTGCTAATGGGAGACTTAAGGCAGCATCATAGGCTACAGTCAGTCAGAGTCATAATGATATCAGGGTCACCTGTGACGTTCCAAGACAGGGTGGAGGGTGGTCCTACAGTAGCTTAGTGACCTTAATGCCTGCATTTAAGAGGCTGCTTTATTTTTCAGATAATGGCCCAGGGGCCAGTAGTGTGTTTTCCTTTACAAAACGGACCCTTTCACAAGTATATACCAGTTGCTGAGAATCACACATGGGGAAAAGAATGTTGTGCTGCAGTCCTGCTTATGGGCTTCTTATTGGCATCTGGTTGGCCACTGTGAGAATGGAATGCTGGACTCGGTGGGCCTTTTCCCTGAGCCAAATGGTTAGACTGCATCTAACACTGCACATGTACTCAAACATGGCACTATATGCAACAACCAAAATGGGTAACATCAAAGTGTGGGATCTGTTTTCAGCTTGATGCAATTCCCCAAACCCCCAGTGGTAAAACATCAACCAATAATACACGAGGCATGTGGACCATAATAAAAACAATGTAATTTTTTTTTTTAAAAAGCAAAGCATCTGTCAACCACAACTGTAACTCTTATAAACTGTCTTGAAACCCCAGAGTTTCAAGTACAAGTACAGTTTCAAGTTTCAAGTACAGTAGCATACAAGAGCTGTAAATAAATGCTGAAAGCAGCAACACAATCCTGATTTTGTAAGTAAATTCATTTTTACCTGGCAAGTGAAACTCAGAGTAGGTACATGATCCTAGGGAGGGCAATACTGATTTTCACGTACTCATAACATTGCCTTGCTGATCCTTCTTTCCTAGCTTTTTCAACTAATGTGTGCTTCTCTCATATTTACAGGTTCATGGAACAGCATCCAGAAATGGATTTCTCAAAAGCAAAATTCAATTGATATGGTTGGCCTTTTTCTTCTCCCCTCCCCTCCTCTAAATTCATTAGGATAAAATATAAATGAAAATAAATCAGCAGGACAGTATAGTCGTTTCACCCAGCTCTGGGACTGCTCACATCACCTCAGAGTGAACTTTCTGTGTAAAAAGAGCTGCACTGGTTAATCCATGTAGCACACTACTTACGCTTCTGGATTTTCAACAGCAGTATCTATCACCTAAGGCCCATTTTACCTTTGCACGGGGAAGAATATTTCAGGGAGAGGAAGGAGTGATGGGAAAAGGGAGTACTTGATGGAATCAGATTGTCCCATGGTTCTTGCTTAGTGTCTAGGAAGTTTCATTTAAAATACAATAATTTAAGTAGCAAGAGAGACACTCAGCCTTCGTCATCCTCTACTCTCCCAGCTCCTGCTCTTGAAATCAGAGCTGAAAGTCTTCCTGCAGCCTTCCTTCTACAAACAAAGCAACCCCTGCAGACTTCTAATTCAGTGCAACAACACTGAGCACTTTCAGATATTGCAAGAAAAACTACTGACAAATTTGATCCACGGGTGTCTCATGCTTGTTGCACTTGCACCATTGTCCCCAAGGAATAGCTTGTGTTGGAGTGATAAGCACTTCACTCAAGGAAGTTCCCATTAGACGTTAAAATGAAAGCACGAGAAGCAGCTTCACAAAGCACCCATGTATCTGCTTGTCAGAACTTTCTATAACCTCTAAAGTTACCGTAGTATTTCAAGTGTTACATTCAGAAGCTTGGAGGCAAAAGGGATAGATGGCTTTTGCATCTGTGTTTAGGCTTATGGGTGGAGTGTAGGAGTATCAAACTGTTTAGGCCACATCAGAATCTGGTATATCAGTCCTACATGTTGTTCCACTTGGATCTGTCACTCGGCTGTTTCTGCCAGGCCCTGATGGACCCACTTCAGAGCTTCAATCTTGTATATTTGCCCCAGATATTAGAGGTTTTTGCCCTTCAGAATGACTTCCTTATCCTTCCTGTTGCAATACTGCTGGTGATTTGGCCTTACATAACCAATATTTAGGAATAGGAAGGGTCTGTTAAGTGATCAGTTACTTCAAAAAGGTTGACTTGCTCTACTCTTGTTGTAGCTAAAATGAATTGATCCATACAAACAATGCTGGTGTCTAAAACTAGCAGTCGGCAAGGTTTTTCTGCTGTCAACAGACACATGTTGGATGGCAGACAGATCTCTGGTTTGTTAGAGACCAGCTGTCCACCTCATTGAAGCGACTCCACATACATTCCCCTTTCGGCGTTGGACATGCCAAGCAAGAGCCTTCTGCATGTTCTATTATTATTATTTTTGTGGTGGTTGCTTTAAAAACAGCTTGTATTCTGCATGTATAAATAAAAAGGTGATGTTTTCATGTGGTGTCATGTGACTATATTCCAGTTATCCATCTACCAGAATAACTTTTGAGCCACCAGAAGGTAGCTAGCAGCTCTTACAGAGTTTATGAAGGTATGGAATATTAAAGAAAAAATGGTCCATACCTTCCTAAACTGTAATTAGAGTATTTATGAACCCTTGTTCTTCCAGTGAAGGAAGAACAGTGACTGGGAATAAAATACAGGCAAGAGCATAGAATATACGGCATTCAAGGCAGTGCTGGTTTCAGCTGATGGGAGTTGTAGTTCTGAACACCTGGAGAGCACCAGGTTGACATAGACTGATGTACAGCATTGTAGCCTGTCATTTTAAATAAGTTCCAGGCTGTCAGCCACCCCTCACATACTTTGACAGTGGGCTGTTCCACCCCTGCTCCCTGTGGTGCAAGCTGCAACCTTTCCCCTTTTTCCTAAGCTGACTACAGGCCATTGACCCCATTCATTTGCGCCCTGTGGCCATCCCATGACTGTTCGACTTTCCACCATGAGGCAACAGTATACAGTGTCCCTGTGCCATTGTGCTCTTTTGTCATCCTCTGAACCTTGGAATGGCCTTGGTTGTCTACCGACCCTTGCTGGCTGGCACACCACAAAGAGCTTTCACCTGTTTTGTGCCTGCAGAAATGTGCTGCTCTTCCTTGCAAGTCTGATTATCCTGTCTTCTATCCATTGACTTAGCAAGGTGTGACGAGCCTCATAGGACCAAAACCTCTGGGGTACAAGGGGGAGAGGTGCATGTCTTCCTTCCAAGAGCTCAGGGCATTTAGAATGAAAACGAGTACATGAGTAAAAGTGACCAAGCAGTTCAATAGCTGCCCCTCCTAATGCTGTAGAAGTAGTGTTGCTGTTGTGTTTTACCTGCTCAACTGTATGTTGCTTAAACATTACAAGGCTTCAAACATTTTATTCTACAGAAGAAACTGAAAGTTTTATTAACTCTAATCATTTTCATTTTGATTGTTTAAGACTTCATCGCAGCCATGAACATTGCATGGCTTTCACTGGTATAGAATGAGGGGCTGCAGTCGGACACTCATTTTCCCCGACCCTTGTAGATGCAGTTGAGACCACCATTCATTTTCAGCCAAGCGCAGCAAAATCACTTGAGTCAGCCTCATGTGAAACCCAGACTTGCCCTTTTTTTCTTTTAGTAGTAACTTACTGGCTCCTCCACCTCCCTTACCCCCTTCCTTTGTTATCAGCAAAGGGCAACTGTCTGAGTTAAACAAACAATCTGCAGATAACTTGACTTCCAGGTTGCTTGTTCCAAGGTTAGAATTTTATGAGCTGTTTTGCCACTGGGCTGTGATCAGGATGTGTTGTGTGAACTCCTTGGCAGTGACCCCTGCCATATCCTGAAACCTGATTACACACCTGAAGCCTTGGTGCCTTGGTACAGGCTGGGTTAATGACTTTGTTTATACTGATAAGGGCAATCCAGATAAGGCAGCCCTCTGAGTCTCCTGGCTCTGGCTGGCACCTTCATTGAGAAAACCTTTTCTCTGTGCCACGTAGAGATGCTGCTTGCCCAACCAATTACTTTGGGACAGACTTGTTTTTCAATGAGCTGCTGCTACTCGTCAAAGGAAGGTCAAGGCTGCCGAAGGGGGGTGGTTTCATTCACCCTGCCAGGGGCCTTATAAGCAGAGCTGAGAAGCAACAGCCACCATTGCTGGAAGGACAGAAAGAGGGTGTGAAGCGAAGAGAAGGTGCCAGGTCCCTATAGCATTAAAAAGTGCCAAGAAGCTCTGCAACGGGACCGGACGCGCTCAGCAGGACCAGATAAAGCATTTGCTCTTCCAAGCAGCGATCCTGCAGGCCGCCCTCCGACGTGGAGATGGAGTACGAGAGGTGCTCCTGCCACCATGAAGAGAACCAGAACGCCATCCTCTACACCCTCCTGAGCCAGAACCTGAGCCATCACAGGGGCAGCCACAGCCCTTCCCAGAAGCGTTGCTTGTGCCAGAAGCGCCGCACCGTCTGCCTCCAGACCCCTCAAGCCACCTGCCAAGCGGCGTCTGATGTCTTGGTGAAGACCATCAGCTTCATGAAGAACTTGCCTTCCTTCCAGCTCCTGCCTTGGAAAGACCAGCTCCTACTGCTGGACAGCTGCTGGGCTCCCCTCTTCCTTCTGGGCTTGGTCCAGGAGATGGTGACCTTTGAGGTGATGGAGACCCCAGCGCCCAGCATGCTGGAGAGGATCCTCCTTGACGGCCCGTGTAAGAGGCAGGAGCTGCAGAGGGCGCAGCCCACCCTGGCCAGCGTTCAGCGTCTCCAGTGCAGCCTGAACTCTTTCTGGAGCCTGGACCTGAGCCCTAAAGAGTACGCCTATCTGAAGGGCGCAATTCTGTTCAACCCCGGTAAGTGCTGCTGGACCCTCATATAGCAAAGGAGCCCTTCGTAAAGGCAATTGCTTTTCATTGACAGTAGAATAAAAGGGCCAGAATCATAACAGTGCATGTTAGGGATGTGTTTTCCATAGACTGCATTCTGAGTCAAGAACTTTGAATCCATTTCATCAAATGCATTTTTAGCCAATTATCTGATAGGGGTAAAAAAATGATTCTTGTTAAAGCTTTAATAAAAGTTGCAAATACCAAAAAACATCAAAGTAAAATATGTCATGAAAAGAAGTCATAAGTTCAAAGAGAATGAAAATACAAGGTGGGGAAAGAAAGCTAAAGAAACAATGGATTATGTAAAATATTCCATGGTGGGATACAGATTCGTATTTACACAAAGCATATAAAGCGTCACCAAATAAAATTACATTTGGTAAGAATGTACCAACCATGAGATTCTTTGGTCATATAAATCACAAACAACCACCAAACAGATGCGAAGTCTGTAGGTTCTGAATCACCCCTGGTCTTACAGGTCACCCCTGGTCTTACAGGTCTGTTTTTCAGAGATGGAAATAGACATGACTTTTTTGAGGCATGAGTCCAAACAGTAGCAAGATGCATCCTCCCATCCTTAATAAATTAACAAGGGGCAGTAAATATAAAAATTGTTTACAAATAAGATCAGTATTGGCATAATAAAAAATACATTAAAATACATTAAAATAGATTTTAAAAATACATTAAAATAGATTTTAAAAATACATTAAAATAGATTTTAAAAATACATTAAAATAGATTTTAAAAATATTTCCGAAACAAGAAGCATCCTATGTACTAGTAGCAAACTCTTTTCTGCAAGTGTGGGTCCTTGCACAGTCAAAACAGAACCACCTACTCACCAGAGGTGAGCGATTAACGGACTTTGGAGAACCCTAAACTACAGAAGTAAACAAACCCAGAGGGAGACAGGCTCAAGTGGGACCCCTGAAACATTCAAGTGGGAAGTAATTATGCTCAGGGAACACAGCCCTGACTGACAGAAGGCATGGGAGAAAGGACGATGTGGTGCAGTGGTAAGTGTGTCAGACTAGCACCTGGCGGACCAGGGGTCAAATCCCCAGTTGGCCATGAAGCTCACTGGGTGACCTTGGGCCAGTCACTGCCTCTGAGCCTATCCTACCTTGTGGGGGATTAAATGAAGAGGGGGAGAACCATGTTTGCTATCTTGAGCTCCTTGGAGAAAAAGGTGGGATATAAATAAATACTGTAATAGAATTGAGATGGGTTGGTTGGTTGGTTGGTTGTTTTTAAGAGCCCATGGCTGGTGGGAACCCATGCTGCAGCATTTGGTTGTGTGTCCCACTTGTTCTTCCTTTAGGTGATAATATCCATGCATCAAAAGAAGCATAATCTTAAAGGAGAACTTCTTCCATCTATGAGAGAAGGGAGATGGTGCTTCATTTAAGATGGTGCTTGCAAAATGCAGTCTTCACACATGCCTGTTTCTGGTGGCTTTTTAAAAATAAAATCTTTTGGTTAATTAAATGGATCCACCTTTTTAGTTGATCCTAACTTTCTTTTTATCAAGGAACCAGTTCAACCTTAGGTTTTCATGCTAGAAATGAACAGGTAGTTCATAGTCTAAGCAAGAGCATTTTCCTAGGGTCTGGATGAATCCTCACTGGCAAAAGATTATCACACACGTTTCTGCTACAAAGTGGTGGAGAGCTCCAGGCTGTTTTTGCTGAGTTGGTTTCGTTTGAAGAGGAGAGTAGCGGATACACAGAGTGCTTGTTTTTAAAATCCTGTTGTTTACCGATGTGCAATTGCGCAGTCACGGTCATGGGGGAGGGAGAGGGAAAATCACACAGCGGGCTTGTATCCAACTATGCCATAGAGCACACCTGTTGGAATAAATGGATTTAAGTGAATCGTGTCTATTGATTTCAATGCTCCTCCTCTGAGTATGAGGTAAGATGAAACTAGATTGCACCCAATTTACCTGCTTCAAGAACATGGGGTTGAAGCCAACTAAGTTTTGCTCAGAGAGAGAAAAAATTGCCCAGAGTAGATTCACTGAAATTAATGGTGTTAAGTTTGTCATGCCCATTAATGTCAGTAAATGCTATAAGTATGCCAAACACTGGATATTGCATTGACACCCTGTCCTTCCTTTAGAAAGTTTAGGGTTGTATATATGGTTCTTCCCACCTTATTCTCACAACAACCCTGTGAGGTAGATTGGATAGTGACTGACTGGTCCCAGATCACCCAGTGAGCTTCAGAGATGAGAGGTGTTTTGAACCCTAGTCTCCCAGGTTCTAATCTGGCATTTTAACCACTGCTGCTTGGCTTAGGACACAGGGTTGTGCCCATGAAGTTTTACTGGACCAAATTACCCTGCCCCAGTGTGGTTTTTAAAAAATTAAGGGTGACAATTTGTTGCTTCTTAAGAGTGCCTGAATTCTGTTTCTTGAAATGGCTGACACACACTCCCCATTCCTGCTCTAAACACTATGGCACAGCACTTCATTTTTTCTCCAAAAAATGATAGCTAGGCTTGTAGCCTTCATGAAACCCTCCAATCTAATCTCCTGAGTTACTGACAGCTGGTAGAGATTAGGTTCTGAGTTTCAAGGTAGAGAAAGCAGTCTAGAGAATGTTAATTCTGGATTGGCTTGGTGGCGAAAACAAGAGCCCCGTCAGCCAGCAACAATGTTCTGATGAAATCATCCAAGTGAGTCCACTTGAATGCCCTTTGTTTCTTCTGCATTTCCCCCGCTGCTTCCAGGGCCCAATGCACAGTATCACAACACTTTGATCAGTCATAGCTTCCCCCAAAGAATCCTGGGAAGTGTAGTTTGTGAAGGGTGCTGAGTGTTGTTAGGAGACCCCTAATCCCTTCACAGAGCTACAGAGTGGTTTAACAGTCAATCCCTCTTCCCAGGGAACTCTGGCAATTTTAGCTCTGTGAGGGGAAATAGTGGTTTCCAAACTCCCATCACCCTTAAATTCAGCTCCCAGGATTCACGGAGAGAAGGCATGACTGTTTAAAGGTGGTATGATGCTGCTTCAAATCTGTAGTGCAGATGGGGCCCAGTATTGAAGCGTTCAAATCATTTGACATTTTCAGAGAGCCTGTGAATAATCTGAGTTTCCTCTTCTCTCTCCTCTCTCTCTGCTCCCAGATGTGCCTGGTCTTAAGGCTTCCTCGTACATCGAGAGCCTTCAGCGAGAAGCTCAGCGAGCACTCCAAGAAGTCATGACCTTTCTCCACCCAGAGGACCAAGGCCGTTTTGCCCATGTCCTGCTGATCTCCTCCTCCCTGAAATCCATCCCTCCTGCCCTCCTCACTGCCCTTTTCTTCCAACCGGTCATTGGGAATGCAGACATTCTGGAGCTACTGACAGAAATGATGCTGGCGAGAGAGCTCCCTTGGCCACAGTGACTCCAGTGGGGTTGGCTCCCAGGTCACTCACCACATGCTCAGCTTTGCTCCAGTTTCCAAGTGGCAGTGTGCAGTTCATCTGGATCGTGCAGTGGGAGAGAGAGCCTGCCTCCTAGTGATGACTTTTCAGACAAAGGGGCTACTGGATGGCAGATCTTAGAATACAAAGGGACGTACAGCCTTCCATTAGGGAGTGAGGCAGCCATCTCAGGCAACAAGGGGGGGGGCACACAGTGAAGAAATATAGTGCTTTGTGAGCCCTTCAGGCTATCCTGTGCCCCTAAACTAGCTTGTCCCATCACCAGTGCTGAAATAAGATTCAGCTGCTAATCCAATGAGCTGCTTTTTGCAGAAAGGTGGTGGGCAAGCATTTTGTCCTTTGTCTACAGCAGGAAAATATGTTGATCTGGCCCTGATTACAGTCAGTGGTGCAGTTCAGGAATGTTAGTCTGTGGGCTCCAATGGTTTTACAGGAGGCGGCCCCTCTCTGCTTTAGATTGTATTATGTATTAAATCTCTTCAGAATGTGATGAGCCAGTCCTGCTGTGTTTGGGAGGAGGAGCACTAGCCCAATCTGTTGAGTGGAGTCCTAGCCCACTGCCTGCAAAGTCCTGGCCTGATCATACTACCACTTAAAGCCCAGCCTTGGGAGCTGCTGTTCCTGTAACCAAAGTATTTAGTTGGAACATAGTTTCTGTGACTGGTGGCTCTGTCTATTTCTCTTCACCCTTTGCTTGCCATGACATTCAGAACAGCTTTCAGAAACCGTAATTCCTCTTGCCTGCTATTCATCACACTATCCATATAAAAGCTGCCCTCCCTGATTTCGCTAGACTCCAGCCTACCCTCACATGTAGTGCCCATTTGCTCCAGTTTGTAGTACACGGGATGAGACCATCTTGGCATAAACTTTGGGTGTCAGTATTTTGTAGATGGATGCTTTCTTGTAATTTGTATGTAAAAATAAGATGTGCTAAGTTATTATTTTTTTAAAAACAACACCTCAACAATGAATAAAATGTTTTTGCAGTTTGGACAATTGCTGGTGTCATTTTGAAGACTGGAGGGATTTGGGCTGATCAATCGTTTAACACCAAGGGATAATAAAGATATTGTATCCAAATCTGTTTCTTATCAAATTTTAGAGCAATATATGTCTGTTCTGGAATTCACACATCATCCACAAATGTCCCACTTAGGCTGCCCAAATCCTTCACCAAATGTTCATCGGTAGAGACACCATAGTTGACTACAGCATGTTGCTTGTCCACACTACATGACTGCAAACCAGCTCACCGTCTCCTTTTCTATCAAAAATCATAACAGAACCTGATTGCATTATAAAGTAGACCATATGTACAGCTGAGGGTGCCAGGTTCTGCATGTCTCCTGAGAGTCTGTCTGTAGTGATTATATTTCCAACAAAAGATGATATCACCATGCACTGAGCTATCCTATATGAATCACGCTGAAAGGAGAGAGACTCCATGATTCTAACAGCACAGTATTGGCACAGATACATCTAAGCAGTTTGGGTGACATATCATTCATGACGGTGGCATCTAACCTATCCCCACACTCAAACACAGGTAGAGTAGCTTAGTTATCTCCTCCTATTTCCGTATTGTGTACTTTCCAGCTGTACAAGGGGACACCCAATTTTTTCATTGTGTGTTTCCATTGCAGATGCATATTGAATGTCTCTGAAAGATACTATGTATCTATTTGACTAGTAGAATGCCAACTCGCTGCCCTTGGTACTGAATGTAACCTTACCATATACAGTCAAACCTCGGTTGTCAAACGTAATCCATCCCGGAAGCCTGTTTGGCTTCCAAAATGTTTGACAAACGAGGTGTGGCTTCCGATTAGTTGCAAGAGCTTAGTGCACTCAAGCAGAAGCCATGTCAGATGTTCGGCTTCCGAAAAACATTTGGAAACTGGAGCATTTACTTCCGGGTTTTCAGCGTCCGGGAGCTAAAACATCCCAAAACAGAGCCATTTGGGAGCAGAGGTTTGACTGCACACTAGTGACCTGGAGGAACTCAATTTAAAGTTTGTAAGTGTAAAAATATGTATTTTCTAAGTGTTTTGCATATGTTTAAGCTAAAGTTCTACACTTATTTAGCAGGCTGTACTTTCCTCCAAGCCAATAGAAGTGGGAAGATGGCATGCTTTTCTTGCTTCTCCACTAACACTATGAAAAAGAAAGTGTACCTAGTTCTAATTTATAAGCATATGCCAGGGAATGACTGGGTAGTTTCTTCCCCACTCCCTACAAAATTAAATCTGTACCCAGGAATTTGATCAGTGGCAGTTTTATATTTTTAAATTGAACTATGAGATGCTCCCCCGCCATCGTGGCAGGACTCCTGTGCCTATTTATAGGCAGAAATTCAACAGCTGCACCATTTCCCATGATGAGGGTGAAGGGAAGCTGCACCTGTCGAATTTCAGCCTGTCCCGCAGCTGCTAAAAGGACAAAAAAGATTGTGCATAGCAGCCACCATTTAGAGCTCCAATATGAAAGTTTAAAAGGTGGACTCTAGACGTAAAGAGGGCCCAGCAGCTGCCACACTTCAGCCTCAAGATCATGTGGTTAACTGGAGAGGGACCATAGAGACGCTGAAAAGAGCAAGCTCGAAGTCCCTCAGTCCTATCTCTAGGATCGCAGGAACGATGATCGAGACTAGACCATACAACCCAAATTCCGTTCGCCCTCAGAGTGGGTCGCTCTATCCATTGGCACGTCTATGTTTGGCACGTGACTCTAACAGTGCCTAGCAGCCCTTTTCATCTCTGTGGTCTATGATTGGCATCGTCGGGAAAGGAGCTGGCGTGACGTCATTACCTTGCGCCGCTGACACGGTCATACGCCGGCTCCGTCTCACGTGATGCGCTTCCGGTGTTACAAGATGGCGGTGCCCACCACTGACAATCCGTCCCTCCAGCCCAGCGGCCGATATTGCCTTATCAGTTGCGTTCCGGCCCAGCTTCGCTCCACCGATCTCCGTTTCTACTTCAGCCAGTTCATCGAGGCCGGTGGCTTCCTCTGCTTCCATTACCGCCATCGCCCTGAACGTATAGAGGGTCCCAGCGCTCCTTCCCGGCCAGGCCCGACCTGCTGCTGCCTGGTGGCGGTGAAGCCCGGCTGGTCTCGCCGCTTGGTCCGTATGTACTCGGGAAAGCGCTGGATCGACGCGCAAGGAGAGACGTTGCCCGGCCGGTGCCTTATACGAAGGGTTCGGGTTTCCTTTGACAAAGGTACTGAGAGGCAAGAAGGAGAGGTGCTGGGAGTGGTCACTGCATTTACCTTTGATACATTTGAGCTTTGAATAAAAGCATTATGGATGGTACTTACTGCGTTTTATAGCATTTTGGGCCCATTGATTTCATTCCTCCCGCCATTTACAAGTCAATGAGATGGTGTCTTTATGTATCTAACGAATTTGGCTTTAGCCCATTACAGTGGTACCTCTGGTTACGTACTTAATTCGTTCTGGAGGTCCGTTCTTAACCTGAAACTGTTCTTAACCTGAAGCACCACTTTAGCTAATGGGGCCGCCTGCTGCTGTTGCACCGCCGGCACACAATTTCTGGTCTCATCCTGAAACAAAGTTCTTAACCCAAGGTACTATTTCTGGGTTAGCAGAGTCTGTAACCTGAAGCGTATGTAACCTGAAGCGTGTGTAACCCGAGGTACCACTGTACAGTTTATGACCACATTAGAACTGTTAGTCTTGTAAATAGAATAAGACTTTTCATGTGTGTTTGCTGTAGTAGATGGACTCTGCTGTCATTCTGGGAAACACTTTGTTCCTTTTGGCTGGGGAGAATAAAATGAGGCTGAAGCAAAGATATGTACCGTAAGTGGTATACTGATGTAATACAAGTTGGTGGATTACTGCTAAGTGATTTTTCTTGCCCCTTGTGTTTATAATTTTTACAGATGCTGAAACGCTCTCCTATAAGACTAAAAAGGAGCTCCGCACATCCTCAAATGAAACTTTCACTGAGGATGATTTAAAACGGCTTCCTGAACTAAACCCACCATCTTTCATGCCCTGTGGGAATGTGGGAACTCCTTTGAGTGTCTTTTTAGATCTCATTAAAGCCTGCAGAATGCCTTCTCGTGCTATCAAGAAGCTGCGTTTGCAGTTTCCCAGAACTGGCTCTTCTCGCAGGTATGGAAATGTACCATTTTCATATGAAGAAACCAAGACTATTGTAGAAGAGGAACGAGTTTACACAGCTTCAGGAGAGGAGATAACAGAAGGGGGAGACCTATCAAGAGTGAGCACGGCCAATCAAGGCAATGGCATGGCAGAGAGATACTTGAATGATCCAGAGAGTGAAGCAGAAGCTCAGTTGGATGATGTAAGTAGTTGTTTTTTCTAATTACACAATGTCATGCTGTGTGCTTATAGATATTTTAGAGATGTAATTATATTATTTTGTAAGGAAGAAGGAAATGTGCTAATACTTATTCATCCTTACAAGTTGGGAAATATGTCATTTTATGAATCTGAAAACTAATGTGACCCACACAAATGAGCCTATGGACTGCATTTTTAATCAAGGTTTTCCCATTCTTCAGGGTAGCAGCTGCCCATAATGATAATGTTAGGTAGAAAAGTTGTGCTGGAATTCTTGTACTCTAGCTGAAAAATTTATTTTACTCATTAAAACCTCAGAATTGATGATCTTCTGGGAGAATCAAAACTGTTAATTCTGACATTTTGTAATGTCCCCCTTATTCATTCTGCCAAGCTTGCTTTTATTCTAACTGTATAGTTCCATTAGCCCATCACACTGCAGGCTAGGTGCTTAACTGGAAAATACTTTGTAACCAAACTGAGGCTATGGCAAGGGGGTGGGGGTTGACTGGTTTAATATGAAAACTAGTTCATAGCCAAGGGTGACTGCTTTGCACTAAAGGAACCTATGGTCTCTTAAGATGCAAATTGTATATACACATGCATGGTAGAGAAAAGGGTGACGGGAGGAAAGTATGGTAAAAGAATGCAAGTAAGATACTAGCAATAGAGATGAGATGACCAACAGATAAGATCTTGTTACTACCCAGCCTGGTTCCAGTCCCTTAAAAACCTTTTACTGCTTGTTAAAGATCTCTCCACATTTTGGATCTATTGGCTGGGTGCATAATGATAACTTTATGGCATTCATTAAACCATAAAAAATGTTTAAAAACAGTGCCCATCACAATGAAGGGTCTTGGCAGAACTATAGTGAGTCCATAATCATACATACAATAAGCTTCTAAAAACCAGTCTATTATGTTTCTGTGCTCCTAATTTCTCCGTCTCCAGAAGTTCAAGATGAGTTCTGTCTGAGCAGGCCCTTAGCAGTGAGCTTATTACAACTAGGCCCAGTGAAACTGAGAAAGTGGGCAATGAGGGGAAACTGGCCTAAACCTTTGCTGAATTTGTCCCCGCCCCCCCCTTCTGCTACAGGATGACGATGACAGATGCGAAGAGTGGGAGCGGCACGAGGCTTTGCATGAGGATGTCACCAGCCAGGAACGCACAAAGGAACGTTTGTTTGAGGAGGAGATTGAACTGAAGTGGGAGAAGGGGGGCTCTGGGTTGGTCTTCTACACAGATGCGCAGTACTGGCAAGAAGAAGAGGAAGGAGGTAACTCTGAACAACACATCCTGGGTTTGATTCTGCCTTGTTGCTGAGAACTGGGATAGAGTGTGCATTAGCGTAGTCTTTGTGAACTCACGGCCCATCTCCAGATAGACAATTTGCAAAACCCCTCTTTAATAAGACATGAAAATGTCTCGGGACTGGTCTGAGACACTTCTCTGCAAAAATATCAAGAACATAGCCATACTGTTTCCTGGCATACTTCTTCTCTTGCTCTCTACTGGAGTCTGTCACTTCTTCCCCTGATATCTCTTGCTGTTCTGTTGTTTATCCTCCAATGGTCCAAGTCCACTGATATCTTTCCCTGCCCCCTTTCATTGACCACTGTGTGTTTTTTTACTGGCCTTCCTGGTGCACGAGGCCTCCGCTCTTCCTTTATTCCCCATGTCCTAAACATGGAGCATGAAAACCCAGATGGCACTGGCAAGAATAAGGTTCTTTTCCCTGCTGCTGCTGCTGCTGCTGCTGCTGCTGCTACAGTTGCTACAGTAGGCCCTACAAAGAATTATCCAGGGCAGTTCTATCCTCAGTTCAGCATGTTTGCTAAATTGGTGAAGTGGTCAAGAGGACCTAATAGATTAGGTCATGGTGATTATAAGGGGAATCTTCAAAGCTACATTTGGGGTTAATAGTTATGTCTGCAGTAAGCTCTCTGAAGAGAGGGCTTTCTCCCCATCTCTAAATATTAGTGAGAGCTGCTTGTCCTGGAATAAATCCCTGTACAAAAGGGGAGGAATGGGGCTGAGATTTTTAGGATGCTGAACTCTAGATCTATGTTCATCATGTCCTGCATAGAATTAATCCTGCAGTCTTTTGGTGTGGAAGAGGAGCGTAATGTGGGAAAGGCGAGGATGATCTTAATGTAACACTCATCTGCAATGAGCCAATACATCCTGCTTGATGTCTTAACTTTTCTTTTGGCAGATTTTGATGAGCAGACAGCGGACGACTGGGACGTGGACATGAGCATCTACTATGATAAAGGTACTTGAGCTAAGGGTTGTTGATCTGTGATGCAAGGAATGGACAGAACCTAAACTAGTGTCTCATGCTGTACTTGAGGCTGCTGTTAATGCATTTTGGAAGCTTTATCTTCTGCAACTACTTGGCTTGCCTTCCTGGCCTACGTGGGGCATCACAAACATATTGTACTAGGGCTCCAGCATTTCCACTGGCACCCTTCAGTCTTCCAGACACAATTCAAGGTGCTGGGGCTTGTGTGTGTTTGTGTTAGTCATCCTGCTGTGCTGTGGTCAGATTTCAGAGAACCTGCTCTAGTGTCAGTTGTAATATGACAAATCTTCATAGCTGCTATCCTGCCCCAGTATGTGGGCTTAATAGCCTTCCCCAGTCTGGTGCCTTCCAGAGGTTGGACTACAGCTCCCATCAGCCCTAATCAGTGTGGCCACAAATTATGGGTGTTGGATATTGTAGTGCAGCAGCATCTGAAGGGTGGCAGGTTGGCTTGCAACATCCTACGTACTCCTCTACCCTGGTTGGCACCTTCCTACTCCAACCTCTGAACAGGAAGCAGTTCCTTTCTTCACCACCACCCTTTCCAAGCCCTGTTTAGAATTGCCTACCTCATAATTTTGGTTTTTACAAATGAATGACAACAAATTCACCCCAAAATGGATTCCCACTTCCTCCCAAGCAAGTGAAACTGTTCCAGATTAGTAAAATTTGCAAAGCTTTTACTTGAGCCCAGCATAACAGGTATTAGTCTCTCATTGTGGTTGCTAAGGCTAAAGATGACTGAGAGGGGAAGGACTCGCTTTATGCTATCAATGCCCCTTCTTGTTTAAAATGTTTATATGCCACTTTTCAAGGCAACTAACAAAAAATCAGCAGCGCTTAGTATAACAGAAACAGTTCAATCCATCAGTCAATATTTATTTTGATCATCGACCAGACAGTAACAGAAACTGTTAAAAAATGCAGTGGCTGTATTAAGGTGGCAAAGCTGCAATGAAGAATTCGTGGTGGTTGCTCTTATAGTCTCTCTCTTAAAAAAGAGATTCTGGACCTATGAACATTTGAAGCTGTTTTACACTCAGGCTCTTTGTCCACCTAAGCCCAGTACTATCTGCTTGACTGGAAGTGGCTCTGTGAGGTCTCTGTTATAGTCCTTTCCCAGACCTTTTGCCTGCTCTCTTTTTAACCAGAGATGAACCTGGGCCTTCTGCATACACTTGCTCTGCCACTAAGCTCAGGTCTTCATGGGGAGACAATGATAACAGGGTTTCCATTCATTCCAGATGGTGGTGACAAGGATGCTCGGGATTTGGTCCAGATGCGGTTTGAGCAGAGACTCCGGGATGGTTTGGAAGATGGGTCTGTTCTGAGCCAACAAATTGGAAACTTTGAAAAATACACCAAGGTAAGAATAAAAAAATGGAAGAGCATAGAAACATCTGAACTTATTTTCATTTGAAAAATCCCTATTGTAAGAGCCTGGGGATCTGAACTGCGTTAGTACTTTTAATACAAAGGGTAGGGGGTTGTTGTGCTGTATTGGTTCTGCTAATAATGGCCTTTGGGGGGGGGAGTGCCAATCATTCTCAATCTGGTTCTAGTGCTAGGTGTCCTCAGCAATTGCTCTCTTTGTTCTGGAATTGATAGAATAATCTCTAAAGTAACATATTTTTTTTCTCCCCAGGGTATCGGCAGGAAGGTGATGGAGAGGCAAGGCTGGACTGAGGGTCTTGGGCTGGGAAGCAGCAACTCAGGGATGACTGAAGCACTAGACAACGAAGGCCAGAATCCCAAATGCAAGAGAGGCTTGGGGTAAGTGAAGAGTGTCCTTTTAAAATACATGCAGTCGAGACATTCAGCCTCTCCACCTATATAAAATAAATAAATATAATAATATTTATTTATTATTACATTTATATCCCACCTTTTGTTCAAGGAGCTCTAGGTGGCATGTATGGGTCTTCCTCTCCCCCTTTTATCCTCACAGCAACCTTGTGAGATAGGTTAGGCTAAGAGACACTTGTTGTGGGGGATTTGCACCTGGTTGTTTCCAGTCTTGGTTCAGAACTAACCACTACAGTACACTGGCTAAGGGAGAGTGACTAGAAATGATGGTAAGAACAGGCATCCACCTAGGACCTAGGACCCAGGAACTCTGCTCTTTTCTCACCCCTTTCCCCTCCTCAACACAAAACACTGGAATTTGGGGCAAATGTTGCCTCCATGTTTTCCAGTCTGTTTTCACAGCCCTCTCATGAGCCAAACAGATCATAACTCAAGTGAGGAATTCCTTGTCTGCAGCATTTCAGAATGATTTCCCCATGGACATCTTTCATGAAAGCAAGAACATTTCTTCAGGCCTGTTGTGTTTTGTTTTTTAACACACCTTTGCTAGTAAGCCTCTTGCTCATCTTGCATCTGCTCTGAGCAAAGTTTTCATCTTTTAAATTCTGATCATGGATTCCACGAACAAATGGTCGAATTAAATTCCCGTTCACTCTGCTGTGTCTCTGAAGACTTTGTTTAAAGCATTTTAATCCCACTCTTCAGACAAAAAAGGCTCCCAGGGCAACTTACAGAGGTTGATAGGACAGTCCCTGCCCTCAGATGTACCCTGTGAATGACAAAGGGACTGGGGAAGCGACTCAGTGCACTCTTTTTTAGAGTTCTTGTAATGACCTGCAGCATGTGTTTCTAGGAGAGGAGAAGTCAAAAGTTACTTGTCTTTCAGCAGAGCTAATGTAGAGGCCCTGCAGTCCCATATTGATCCCTCTATTTTTATTTTTATTTTTAATTTCTTTTCAATACTGTACTGCTTTATATTTTTAAGAAAAGAATCTCAAAGCTGTTTAGAACCTACATTAAAACATCAAATAAAACAACCCAGAATAAAACATTAGAGAAGAAAGTCAAATATAAAGTAAACATTCAAAGCAACATAATTAACAGAAAACTGAAATATTATCTTAAAACATTTCACAGTAAAACATTACAAAGGAGGTCAACTACAGAATGCACATTCAATGCAGCAAAGTTAACAAAAAAACTTTAAACATTTCAAAAGGAAACATTACTAAAGGAAGTCAAATATAAAACACACTTTTAAAATAGCATAATTGGCAAGCAAATAAAATATAAGTATAGAGCAAATCTGCTGTTGCTTTCAATCCTTCTGGTGGTAGTTCATGGCAGGTGATGGCTGTAAAAGCTCAGGCTCGATGATCTGGTTCTGTAGTAAGAGAAAGCCAAGGCAGTCTTTGGTTTCTTCAGTAGCCTTGTAGCTGGAGTCAGTCAGGGCCCCGCCCTCCCAGTCCACCAGTCCAGGTGAGAAAAGACCTGCATGGCAGAGAGCAGGTCTTACAGCTTCACAGCCAAGAATGGCTGCTGTAGATGATAACTAAGGGAGGAGCCTGGTGGTCTTCCTGCAAAGCTGATGTAGAGGCTTTGCAGTCCAGTCTCTCTCCCTGTGCCTGATGGAACCTTTCTTTCTTTTATTGCTTTTCTGTAGGTACCATGGTGAGAAGCTCCAGACTTTCACCAAGCCCAAGAAGCCTCGTGGGGACAACAGCATCCTCATCTCCACCATCTATGATGACCCATATCCTGTGGATGCAGAAGAGCAGCTGCTCCGGCGCCAGCTACCAATCAGTATGAAGCATCGCCAAGATGTGGCATTTGGCCATGCCATGCATGGTGTTCATCACAATTCCAGTTCCTCATGAAGGGGCTGCTAGCCAGGAATGGCTTTCGGACTATGTTGCAGCAATGTTTGCTTTTGCAAATAAAATTTTTTTAATTAACAAAAGTTGCCAAATAAAAGGCAAAATGTTTAGTATTTATTATTTAGGGTTTTTTATCAATATGGGTGCATCCTAGTGCTTGTAAGCTAAATTAAAGGGTTCTTGCTTGTGTTTCTTTTGGGTTGCTACAAGATCCGTGCTGCGTTACATCATGCCTAGCTACCAATGGCCTTTATGTCCTCCATGCTCCATTGCTCTAATGCAGAGAACCATTCCAAGCAAGAAATAAGAGAGGAAAGCAGTGTTTGTAAGGGGGGGGGGGAGTATGTTGTTGCTGTGGAGAGAAGAGAGAAGTGGGACTCCTGGATGAATAAATACAGAAATATCCACAACTTTATCAGTGGTGCTGTTTTAACCTTGCTGGACTGGGAGTAATAAAATAAAGTGGTCTATAATATTTCTTAGAACTTCTTCCAAGGAAGCATACACAGTGTTTTGCCATTGTATTGTCTCAACAACCCCATGAGACCTTAGAATCACTCCAAAAATGAGATCCATATTTGAGGAGTAATTTGAGGCCAGGTCTCCCTGTTCCAGGTCTGTGCTGGGTGGTATTGAGCATTCTAAAGCCACCATGGATAACCTTAATGGGTTTTTATGGTTTATCCTGCCCTTCAAGTTCCTCAAAGTGGCCTGCATGGTGTGTTCTGCTGCTCTCATTTTGTCCTTGCCAACAACCCTTTGGACTTCTATGAAGAAAGTCAAGTTCTTCCATACAGCAGCTCTCACCACTTTGGAACATGATCTATGGATCAGATGCATGTCAGTTCACCTTCCACTAATCAGTGCATTTCTGTGTTTTTATTGAGTTCAGCCTTGAACCAATTGCTCAGCATTCCAGAGCTCAAGATTCTCTCGCCCCCACACATCTATTATGTCTATCCCACTAACATTTTGCACTTGCGCCTTGTTTGTGTGTGGAGAGGGAAACACACAGCTGGTGCTAACTGGTGAATAAAGAAAACATTTATTGGGAAATAAGCTTGCAAAGCATAAAGAAACCCCTGCACTGTAGTATAACAAGACATATGTAGAGCTTCAGAAAACAACAGGCCAGGCTTTTACCTTGCATGATAAAATCAGGACCAATGATTAAAGCTTGCAAACAATAATTACAATGTTGTTGCAGAAGGCAATGTCTGTATCTTTCACCCGCTGCTTAATTTCTAAAATGAGAAGCGTTGGGTTTCAAATATATCCCAGAAGTCAGCTCATACTGGTCCTGGCAGCCATTTCTGCACGTGACTGACCAGGGTGATGGGAAGACATTCTACCCATGCTTAGATGATGAAGAAGAAGAGTTTGGATTTGATATCCTGCTTTATCAGTACCCAAAGGAGTCTCAAAGTGGCTAACATTCTCATTTCCCTTCCTCCCCCACAACAAACACTCTGTGAGGTGAGTGGGGCTGAGAGACTTCAAAGAAATGTGACTAGCCCAAGGTCACCCAGCAGCTATATGTGGAAGAGCGGAGACGTGAACCCGGTTCCCCAGATTACGAGTCTACCATTCTTAACCACTACACCACACTGGCTCTCTTATTTGCATAGTTGCTGCACATCTCCAAAGCAAATTTGGAGGTTAAGCCCTAGTGAGTGCTGGCAAAAAGTCAACCCTGCCTAAGAGCCAAGGATGTAGCCTTAAATAATGACAGCGTGCCTATTGCAGGGGTCTGCAATGACGTGCCCTTGGGCACCTATCCTTCCCAGTGGTTTTTCTTCTGGAGGTGTTGCCTGCTTTTTCATTATGTTTCACTGGTTTTGGAAAGAGTAGATATTTTGCCTGTTAAGTGTATCAGGTTTTGAGCATCACAATCCCACCCACTCCCATGTGATATAAGTATTTGGTGGTGCCCATGAGTGTCTTACATTTCCCAAATATGCCACTGGTCTCAAAAAGGTGTCCCATTAGAATACAATTATTCCCACCAAATGGTCATGGAGAGTGGGGAGAAAGGGGGTTGAATACATTGAAGTGAGGATGACTGGTTACCCACAGTGTGTTTGGAAATGCAACATATTCCCATGGCCATTTGGTTTCATCATTTTCACATTTTCCAGTAAACAAAGGATAGCAACTCCTTCCAAACTTCACGGCTTTCACCACGCGCTCTATAATGGCTGCCATGCCCCACCTCCGTCTTCAGAGAGAACGCCAAAAACACTAGTCATGTCAACTTCTGCCCTCCAAGTGGCGCTCGCCGCTTAGTTAATAAGGATGGAGTCCCATGTTCGGAAAAAATACGCGCGGAACCTTCGTTTCTCACTCCTTTCCCCCTCCGGATTGAAATAAGAACGTACAGCGGTGCGACCAAAGCTGCCTGGGCGGCGCCAAGCACTAAAGCGACGCTGCTTGTACCATAGAAGGAAGAAATTGTAGGGAAGCTCATCCTGTTGCCCGCAGAGGAACCTTCCAGGTTTGTTTCTGGTTTTTTCGGAGTGTCCATTGGGAACTGCCCGTAGAAGTCAACGGAGAATCATAGAATAGAACTTTAGAGTTGGAAGGGATCCCAGGGGTCATCTAGTCCGACCCCTGCAATGCAGGAATCATGCCCAAAGCCTAAGCCCCAATTAATCAACCCTGGAACAAAGGAAGCAGCAAAGAGTGGAATTGTTTCTAATTTGGGGTTAATGTTGTCTGGAAAATGTTGATTTGAAAAAGGGCCCCCTTTCTCTCTGTCACCCAGATGCAGTGCCTCTTGTATGCAGAAACCTCGTGCTCTGTTGACCTCCGTGGACACACATTGCAATTTTAAATGCCACAAGAAAAAAACAACAAAAATAATAATAAATAAACTGAAGTGTAGGTGGTAAACCACATTTCCCACACCAAACAAGGCCTGAGTTTGCTGTGTGAGGTGGCACAGAGGCACACTGGTCACTCCATACAATCAGAGGTTTCCCCAATAAATTCGGTTGGCAGCTCTGACAGCCTCCATGGAGAGGTGGGCAGAGGAGACCTGAGTGAACCAGAAGTCAGTTAGACTGTTTTAATGAGTGGAGTGATTACGGCTAAGGCTATCTGTTTTTTAGCCGATGTTCAGACTTTGTGCATCACTCTAACCTTTTTACTATCTCTGTGACAGAGAGTCAAGGTGTGTTGTTGAAAAAAGTCCGTGTTGCAGTTGCTCGGGAGGTGAGAGACGCATTTGCGCTTGCTCTGAATGCTTCTTAATTCTCCTTCTCTCCTGGCCCCCTCTGTGTCTCTGTTTATTTCTTCCCCAACTTATTTAGGGGCAGTGTAGAAGGGATTGATTATGATGGAAAGGAGCCCTCCTATCTTAACAATGCCGTTCCTTTCCAGGCACAGCTCTGAGTTCTCGCCCCTCAACCACATGCACAACCCTGCAAGCCCATCCTAGCCATAAAATGCACGCCTTCTGGGCTGAGGCAGTTTATTCAAATTGCCCCTCATTTCTCCATTTCCCCACTAAGCCTCTTAGAAGTAGAGGAGCTTCGCACACTCCTGCAGAAAACACCAGTATAGGGGGTACTCTCATTCAGAATAGCACAGTACTATAACTAGGGCCAGCTTGAGATATTTTGCTGCCTGAGGCAACAGGACAAGGTGCATTCTGCCCTCTTCATGTGCAAAAGTACATGAAGTACCTACTGGACTGGTAGTTGAATCTTATTTCAGTACTGGCAGGGCCAGCTCCATCATTAGGCAAAATGAGGTGGCTGCCTCAGGCAGCAGGTGCTGGAGGGGCAGCATAGGCAGTTTCTCTCTCCCTCCAGCAGCTCCTCCTCCTAAGCTCCCCTGACAATACTGCTCCTTTGGAGGACTTAACAAGGAAGTTACTTTGTCAACAGTGTCAGAGTAAGAATCAACTGCTTTGGGGCCCAATTGGATATTTGAATTCAGATATCTGAACATCCCTGGTCTAACACTACAATCCAGGGTAGCCATTGTGGTGCCCTCCACATCTTGCCGTACTACAGCTCCCCTCATCCTTGACCACTGACCATACTGGTTGGGGCTAATGGGAGTAGTAGTCCAACAACATCTGGAGGTCATCACATTGGCTGCCCTTGCTCTCATTACTGTATCAGTCTCTCTGTAAGTCAGCAGTTACCTGATATTACCTTAGAAATATTTTTGTTTCAGCTGTACACTTCAGTTGTTGGGGTTCTTTTTTTAGAAGTGCCCTTAATTTGTAAATGTAGCAAACATGGTGTCATGGAAGTACACTCACCAATTGGATCAGAATTGGATCAGTTTTTTCCTTGAGAATATGCTTGATAACAAACCCATGTTTGCTTCCTAAATACTGTGTGAAATGGTCCATATATTCTGACATTTTGCTGTCTTTTTTTAGAAAAAGAACAAAAGTTGCATCATGTCGTACAGCCAGAAGCAGTCCGCAGTAGCCTTTGGTCAGGCAGTGATTGGGCCTCCTGGCTCAGGGAAAACAACTTACTGTCTTGGCATGCAGGAATTTCTTTCTGCAATTGGGCGCAAAGTAGCTGTGGTGAACCTGGACCCAGCCAATGAAGGGATTCCTTACCAGTGCGCTGTGGATATCTCAGAACTTATCACCTTGGCCGATGTAATGGAGAACTTGAAACTGGGACCCAACGGTGGCTTGATCTATTGCATGGAGTATCTGGAGGCCAACTTGGACTGGCTGCAGGAGAAACTGGCCCAGTTTAAGGGGCATTACTTCTTATTTGACTGCCCGGGACAAGTGGAGCTTTGCACCCATCATAGTTCATTGAGAAACATCTTTGCTCAGCTTGCTAAGTGGAACTTCAGGGTATGGTTGGTGAGATGAGGGATGGCAGCTCTCCAAGCATTTGTATCTGGCCCTTGGGGCTCTCCCTGCACTGCACCACCTCTTCTTTAAGCTTCTTTTACAGTTTTTGCTTGGCGGCAATGTGCACTTGAATTCTAATAATGTATTATGCATGCCTGGAGAGGGAGAGGGTGGGTGAGAGTGTGTTGAAAGTAGCCTAATGCACCAAGGTAAAAGTCACACTTGCTGCTTTGTCCACTTTTGCCCCTGGCATGTGACCCCCCAGAAGAGAATGTGACTTTCAGGCTGAAAAAGTTCTCCTGCCCCTGGTGCAGAAAAATAAAACAATGTTAGGTGGTAGAATTTTGCATGAAAAATGGGTACTGGGAGTGAGAGCATCCTTTGGTGCCAAACTGCAAGCCAGATTTGGCTCCAATGCACATTAGCTCTATGTAGCATAGTAGCCTTTTACAACTCATTTTCATGTGGCAAGCCATTTGCGTGAAATGGTTCAGGCAGTTCAAACTACACAATTGCAACTCCTTTATTTCTGTGGATTGTATTGATTGGTTAAAATTGCCTGAGCTGGAAGGGGTGGTTGTCATCTGAATAGCTTGAATGCCTCCATGCAACTATGTTTTTGACTGGCTACCATGCTGTAAAGATTCATCTGTGAATTGGGCTTTAGGATTAAGTGTCCTGGGCTCTTGTATTCCCTATTTCAGTTTTGATGGCCATTTACACCTTATGAAGATTTTTTTTAAAAAATCTACCAACTACCATGTCTGGATTTAGCTTCAGCTGGCTTAATTGCATCCAACCTCCTATAGTGTTCAGATTCCAGAGAAGTATCAGGACTAAAGTAGCTGTATCAGATGAAAATGAAAAGGTACAGCTCTCTGATTTTAATGTAATGATGGCACTTGGCTTTAAAACTCTTAATAATCTTACACAGAGACTGTATAGGCATTGATTAGGTGGAGGCACAAGATGGAACCTCTATGTCAGAATGAGATAACCCATTCTAGCTGCTCTCTGAACACCACTAGGTTCAACAGACCGGTCACCTCATGGCAAACAATAAATAATCAAATAATGATCTCTGGTTGTTTAAGGTGCAGTTGCCTCTTTTTTTGCTGCTGTCTAGCTGTAGACTAAAGACCATTATTGGATAACCTCCCCCCACCCTACCTTGCTGTTTGGTAAACTAGATGGAGTGTGGTTTACATGGAGAAAGGCTTTGTTTCAGTGTAGAGCATCTGTTTTGCATGCCAATGGTTGCAGGTTCAATCCCTGGCTTCTCTGGTAGGATCGTGTTCCTGCAAGATTCTGGGGTGGGTGGGGGGCTTCAATGCAGCTGGTTTATAGGCTTTTAGAGGGGAAAGGGGGCTATTTCTTTACTTCCTCTGTAAGCAACCCAACTTCCACTACAATGATTTTTCTAAACCGGTACTACTGTTGCTATGTAATATTACTTATTTTTATCAGTTGCATCAGACAATGAGACTTTGGAAGCTTTGGCCCTCCATATGTTGTCGGACTACAAATCCTATCAGCCTCAGCCAGCATGGTCAATAATCAGGGATGCTGAGAGTTGTAGTTCAGCAACTTCTGGAAGGCCACATGTACCCCATCCCTGCCCTAAGCGTTTACTTGTCTCCATTAACTTGTCAGGATGTCCCAGACTTGACACAACATTGATTTTCATCCTTCTCTTGTTTCTTCTTTGCACAGCTGGCAGCTGTCCATTTAGTGGATTCTCATTACTGTACGGACCCCGGCAAGTTCATCTCCATTCTCTGCACTTCCCTCTCCACCATGTTGCACGTAGAGCTACCCCACATCAACGTCCTCTCCAAAATGGACCTAATCGAGCAGTATGGGAAACTGGGTGAGAGCCATCAGTAGGAGGTCCTTGAATGAATGGCCACAGGGAAGACGGATGTAACCTTTTACTAAGTGACAGTGAGAAGTTGTGGATAATCAGATCCTGTAGCCTGAGAGAATTATGAACCATAATTCAGTGTTAAAGCACCTGCCCTACATGCTTGGTTGCTACCTTTCCAGGGAAAAGAAACGGAGACAGCAGGTTCTGGAAAAGACAATTGCCCTCTAACCTAGAGCCAGGGAGGGGAACCTTTTCCAGCTTGAGAGCCACATACCCTTCTAAGCAACCTTCCAGGAGCCACATACTAGTGGTGGTTGGGCAAGAATCACAAGCGAGCAGAGCAAAGAACGTCAATTCTATCTTTGCACCATAGGATTGTTTCTACACATACTTAAATACACCCACCTATCCTCCATCCAGGCAAGCAAGAAGCATTGTCAGAGTTTAAGGGCCCATTCTAGTCAGGCAAAAACACACAAGGAGAGTGCAAAGCAAGGCCATTGAGGGGTGTGGCTGGAGAGAGAATGTGGCCTGGGAGATCCCCAAGGGCTAGATAGGGAGACCTGGAGGACCTCATTTGATCCCCATACCTGACATTCCCCATGCTTGCCCTAGAGAGAAGCTCCAGTTAGAGAAGACAGCTGTGGGCTAGCCCAGGAGTGCAGAACCTTTGACCCTCCAGATATTGCTGAATTACAACTCCCATCAGTCCTGGCCATTGGCCATGCTTGCTGAGGCTGATGGGAGCTGTAGTTTAGCAGTGTCTCGGGGGCTAAATGTCCCCACTGTTGGGCTAGATTCTAGCCACTACGTTAGAGAATGTAGAGAAACCCGAGACTTTCCAGGTGCTGCTGACTACAGCTCCCATCACCTTGATCATTGGGCATACAAGCTGGGACTGATGGGAGTTGGGAGTCCAGCAATCTCTGCAGGATCCCAGGTTCCCAAGGTAGCTCTTTATATGTTTAGGAAGCCACTTTTAAAACTTGAGTTTTGGCATTAACAGGAGACTGGGATCTCCAGTGGACTTCCCAACTCTTTAATATATGCATAGCATATCTATTTTAGATTGTAAGCCTATGGGTAGGGAGTGATGTGATTTGGCTTTATCTGCACCTTTTGTTCCTGAATTTGCTAGAGACTTGTCTTTTCTTGTCTTGCAGCCTTCAATCTCGATTATTACACAGAGGTTCTTGATTTGTCCTATCTAGTGGATCACCTGGCTACAGATCCTTTCTTCAAGAACTACCAACACTTGAACAAGAAGCTTGTGGAAGTGATTGAAGACTACAGCTTGGTTTCTTTTGTCCCTCTCAATGTCCAGGTAGCCAAGCCAAATCAGCAGGAAAGTAATAACTGACATTTGGGGAGCAGGCAGCCATTCAGTTTAGGTTCTGTTTGGACTCTTTCCTTTTCCTGCTGGAAAATGTAAACAGCGTCCTTCAGGATCTGGATTTTATAGGCTTTTCTATTTCAGATATTGGCTGTAATTTGTTGCTGTAGCGTTAAATAATAATGTGTTTTATTAAATTATTAAATAGTTTAGTGGCTAAGACACTGGACTGGGAAGCCAGGAGTCCTCCAATTCAAATCCTGCCTTTGCCATGAGCTCACTTGGTAGATCTAAGCAAGCTTCTGTCTTTCAGACTCAGGATTTTTGTAAAGAAGGAGTGGGAAACCTGTGGCCTTCCAGATGTTGTTGGCCTCTAATTCCCATTAACCTCAGCCAGCATGGCCAATGGTCAGGGATGGTGGAAGTTGTTGTTCACCAACATCTAGAGGGACATGGGTTCCCCACTTCCACTGTAAAAAGTATTGAGATAATGTTTGTAATTGCCTGCAAATACACAATCCTGTGCCCAGTTACCTGGAAGGAAAGCCCTCTTTCATTCAGTGAAGCTTGCACCTGAGTATCTGATTGTGCTCTAGTCTAAAGCACTATTTAATAATGCTAAGTATTGCTATACGCTAACTTTAAAATAGGAAGTTTGCTTAAATTATGTTCCAGAAAGTGAAGAAACAGATGATAGTTTGGCAATGCGTTTGCATATACTAGCCAGATTGGAGAGTGATGCTGAAAGGATCAAAGAGAATTAAAAATATAGAAAGGAGCTGGACTGCTTTTATTTGTCACTAGGAAAGTAAAACTCCCACATGTATTAATATGCTATATAAATGAATATATGTATGCTCAGTTATGCTGAGAAGAAAACATCTGTTAATACAGGAGCTAGGGCATGGAACTAACAGGCAAATGATTTAAAAATACATATAAGGAAGCACCATGTGACATTGCTTATCTGTGAAAGGCATGCCTATATTAGAGCAAGAATCATGGAAGTTTGATGGGGAATCCAGCTGAACTGGAAGTGAACCAAAAAAGTGCTGAAAGGGAAGGGAATATTGAAAGATGATCTTTGGATTGCAGTCTGCCTGTAAGCCAGCTCACATGTTCTTCTTTCATCACCTGATGATTGCGGCATCAAGTGGCAATGTGCATGTGTGAATGAGCTACTACAATTCAAAATCCACAGGTAGAACTTCCATATCTCATCAGACCCAAACCAGGTGGAGTCCCAAGTGATGAGAAATCACAAGTGGTGAGAAATCAAGTGATGGTACATGCCGTGTGTTAACCGGCCCAGTGAGTAGCATCATGGAACATGAAAGAGAAATTAATTTCAGCCCCTAACGTGTCCATTTTCCTAGGATAAGGAGAGCATGCAGCGTGTGATGCAGGCGGTGGACAAAGCCAATGGCTACTGCTTTGGAGACGCAGAGCACAGAAGCCTTCAAGCCCTGATGTCTGCAGCAGTGGGAGCCGATTTCCACTTCACATCGTATCCTTTTTTTATTGTGTTCCCCTTCCCTGCTGCAAGACTGAGTCTTATTTATGCATCCCAAGAAATAATCATCTGGGGAAATCTGCATGCCCATAACTATATTGCAGTTTTGAGGGTCAGTTTGCACTACCATTGACACTGGTAGCTGATCAGATGGAAGTTTTACTTATTTATTTTATTCATTTAACAAATTTATAGTCTGCCTCATAGTATAAAGCTGTTGAAGCACTGTACTGTATAAACCTATGAATCCAATCTGTACAGTGTGCATGAATAAGCCTGTTTCTACAATTCCAGCCCAGTTTCAAAGGTGTGTTGTGATTGTGGAAATAAGCTACATTTGTGTCCATATCGATAGCATTTATTTATTTTTATTTTATTGAAGTATTTATAATCAACACTTTCTTACAATCTAATCAAGGCAGTATACAGTATGCAAGATTATAATAAAATCAGTGAAAGCAACATCATTTGAAACTTCACTATAACATCAGTAAATACTGGTTGGTGAAAAAGAAAAAAAATCATATTGCAAAGGCCTATCTAAGCAAAGCAGGACCTGTATTCAGAAGACATCTGAAAAAAGGTATGGACGATTCCTGATGAACCTCTACTGGCAGGGAGTTCCACAGGCAGGTCCTGTCACACTAAAGGCCCAGTCCCTAAGTAGAGGCCAACCGAAACTCAGAGGCATGAGGAGCCAACAGAAGTGCCCCATTGAAGGATCTCAATGATTGAAGTAGAGAGTAAGGAATCAGGCAGTCCTTAAGGGCCTTTTGGACCCACTTTTTTAGGGCTTTGTGAATTAATACATGTAGAACCAATGTAGGTGATACCAGGCTGATATACAGGAGCACCAAGATACACCCACCTACATCCTGCATGTGAGATTGCCAGCATGGATGCAATCCATAAGCTGTGGTTTATTACTCCATATTCTGCATGTCCGGTCAGATATTAGGCTTTACGAGTAAGTTTCTAACCCTTAGGGCAGTAAGCAGAGCAAAAGCCCAAAGATGATGTAATACTGACTCTCTTTCTCGTAGCTTTTGAAAACAATTTCTTATGAGCTGTGGGCAAACTTTTTACCACTCTTTGATTAAAATCTGAGCACCTCTGGGGTCTGGATAAAATTGTTTTGTGGGCTGGACATAGCCTGAGGGCTGCCGGGTAGCCACCTCTGATCGAGACAAATTGCTTCTCCCACTCTTGTTCCGTGTAGCTCAAATTCCTTTTTGTATTGTTTGCTGCTTCCGATACTGTACCTTTTGGATGGAATGTCCTTACATTAATTGCACTGTCAGCTAGCAGTCAAACAGAGATCAGTGCGCACTCTCTCTCTCTCTCTCTCTCACACACACACACACACACACGCCACCACTTGCTGTTTATTTCCCCTTAACTCATGTACAACCAGCACATTAGCAGTCCAGGAGAAGTATGTGCAGCCGCAGGAGAAAACTGTGGAGCAGGAAACCATGGATGTGTAGCATGCCTGCTGCAACTGTCCACTGCAGGTGGACAGCTCCTCCCATCCAAGTTGGCTTCCCATGTGTATTAACCTGAAGCTGAAGAAGTACCCTGCAAGATATGGACTACCAAGATTCAGCTTGTGCCTTTAGGTTCCTCCCACACAATAACTTCCTTTCTGGTGTACTTGGGAGCCTCTGTGCTTGAGACAAAGAGGGGCCTCCCCAGCAAAAAAACAAGTTAGCAGTGAGCTGCGGTATGGGCAGTTGCGAGGCACAGAAGATGACCGGTGAAATGGCAAAAGTAATAGAAGTCTGCTGCCTGAAAGAAGTTTGCACCAAAGATTGTCAGTGTGACCGCTCTGTTGTTGTTTTATTGAGAAGCATGGGATTCTGTTAACTTTGTACAATTGCATAGGAGCTTGACTGTCTTCTCTTCTGCGGCCGCCAATGCTCTGCCTCTGTTTGGCATTTCAAAGTGTGTGGAGATGACAAGCAGTGATGCTGGGCACTAGGGACAGGAGCACCCTCAAAGCCTCCTGACTCCACTTGTTGTGACCCCCCCCCCCCGCCCTGTAAATGCCAGGTTTTGGCCTTGGCCTTCTAGGAGAGTCCTTCTGGTGGAGGGACTGCTCAACCCATACACTCTGTTTCAGACTTATGTGTCTATATCCACGTCTGGTATTCTTCTTTTGGTATGAGGATTGCTTTCCTGCCCCACCCACAATAACTGCATGGAAGAGAAACAATATACAGTGGTACCTTGGGTTACATACGCTTCAGGTTACATACGCTTCAGGTTACAGACTCCGCTAACCCAGAAATAGTACCTCGGGTTAAGAACTTTGCTTCAGGATGAGAACAGAAATCGCGCAGCGGCGGTGCAGCAGCAGCGGGAGGCCCTATTAGCTAAAGTGGTGCTTCAGGTTAAGAGCAGTTTCAGGTTAAGAATGGACCTCCAGAATGAATTAAGTACTTAACCTGAGGTACCACTGTACACTTAAGAAACCTTTAAATATATCATTATTGCTACTACTACTCCTATTTCGTTCAATTTTTTACTCACCCTTTACCATAAGGTCTCAGGGCCAGTTGCAGCCATGTAAAATTTAATATTAACAGCAATTGATAACAAGTTGCAGTCACAGAAATAGAGTGGGTCCTGTAAACATTTCTCAAGTGTCAAAAGGCCAGGGTAAAGAGGGTATACATTTAGCATTCAATGGAAACTATATAATGAAGGAGCCAGACATGCCTATTTTGGGAGGGAATTCTTTAACCTAGGAGCTGCCACAGAATGCTCTCTCTTGAGCTACCACTCCAACCACCAAACATTTGTGTGTGGTAGAATTACCAAGAGGGCTCTGCTGGTATTAATACTCAAAATGGGGTCTGTAGGGAAGCAGGCAGTCTTTTAGATATTTGTGGCCTAAATTGTACAGAAGAAGCTTTCATGGACTAGAGTCCCACTTCATGGGGTGAGGGATGGGAACAGTGAGTTCAGATGGAAAGGAAATAGAATAATGTAAAATAAAATCTCTGACAGTTATAGTAAATTTTACTAGGTAAAGCTTTAAAGAAAGCCAAAAAAAAAGCACCATGACCACAGCAATAATTGATTATCAAACTTTGCTAAATCACTTAACACCTATAGTGGGAAAGGAAGCCATTATCACAATTCAAATCACACTGGGCCAGGAAGCTGTTACCAGGATTCAAACTGCAGGTGAAAGAACTGAAATTCTTGATAAGCTGTAATGTGGTGGTTGTATTCTGGTGCCTTCCTTTGGAAATGGTGTAGAGAGAATTCTAGCAGGTGCAGCTTATCTCAGTCCTGCAGCACTAATGGGTATTTTGCGGCACCTGTTACAATGCCTGTTCTTCATATCAAAGTGATTGAATGGGCATATGTGAGTTATGCCCTGCAAGTGAACAATGGCTGTGTTCTACCTTCTCTGTTGGAGGCAGTATGCCTCTGAATACCAGTTGCTGGGAATCACAGGACTCTGGTTCTGCTTGCTGGCTTCCCATGGGCATCTGGTTGGCTACTGTGAGAACAGGATGTTGGACTTTGGCTTCCTCCAGCAAGGATCTGGCAAGAGTGCTCCTGCCGGAGAAGCATCTCTTCCACTCAACTGAGTACAGCTTTACTGGTGCCACAAGGGGTTGCTGTTGCAAAGAACAGGTAGGAGGACTGCTGGGTGTGCCTAGGACTGAAACTAGTCTCCAGCACAAAACTGCGGAGGACAAAGATGGCCTTGGGCTTGTTCTCATGGTCTGTGTCATTATGAATGGGGATCCCTAACAAAAAAAAAGGGAGGGGGAGAAGCAAGCCTGCAGAACTGTCTTGAGTCTTTAAAAAATAAAAATTCGGTTGTTGATGTGTTTGAGACATACGCAGCCTGCTGAAATCATTACAATCACGTGTTTTATCATACCTCAGAGTGGAAAGTCAAACACTAAGCATGTAAGAACAGATACATTTGCCTTGCTAGATCTATTCTAACATGGCAGAGGCTGCAGTTTTTACAATCTCTGAGTGTTTGTTGCTGATAAGAGCCCTCTGGTCTCAATGTAGATCTTGGATATTACTGTGGACATTTTTTAAAGCCTGTATATAATCATTGTTAATGCTGTAAGCAATTTTTAGATCTCTTTATAAGTATTTGCCCAGTCAGTGAATTCTTGTCCTTGACACCAATGAGGTGAAACAGGATTAAGGACATAAGTTGCTGAGGTAAACCCAATAGCTTCTCCTCAGGAGAAGCTTCTGGAAATCACTTGGCTTCCCTTTTGTCCTTATGCTTATGATACCTCAGCTCACTAATACGGTCCCATAATGGCAGGAGGGAATTACTCTCTTCTGTTAATTCACAGCTACTTTACTGTGTGAAAAAGTTGCATAAGAAATTGGGCCTGAGAGGGAAGCGTGGTAAGAAAGCAACTGGCACAAAGAAAGGACATTGAGAGCGGGGGAGGGATGCTGAAGGAGGCCCTGACAGGAGACATAGCAAGCCAAAGTCTGTAAACCGCCCTGAGGTCTTATGACAAAGGGTGGTATATAAATCAAATAAAATAAAAAAATTGAAAAATCAATTTTAAAAAAGCCACAGCCAGTCCAGAGACTCAGAATGGGAAACCTATGACTGTCCAAATGATTTTAAGCTCCAATTCCCTTTAGTCCAGCAAGCATGGCCGGTTGTCAGGGATGATGGGAGTTTAGTCCAAAGAAACATCTGGAGCCAGGTTCCCCATCCCTGCTGTAAACAATACTGAGTTGGACAGACTAGTAAGTAGTCTGACTTAGTAGGAGGCAACTCCATATTGTGTTCCTGTTCATATTGTGTTCCTGTTCAAGATGACTGCAGCCATCTTGTGCCGCTTTTGTTGGGCCTCCCCAGGATCACACACGGTGTATCCTTTCCACACCAGTGGCAACTCTTTCTGAGAGGCAGCCTGCATCATCACCACGGAAATGCTGTGCATGATTGAGGCTTCAGGTGGCATACCACCTTACGTTGCATGTCCATGCCCAGGTGTGACAGCACGTGGAAACCTCTTGGCTTGGGAGCCTTATGGGGTGTGGGTGAGCATCAGAGACCAGCCCTCCAGCTCTTCCCAGCCAAGGCTCCCAAAGGTGTTGGCATCATTTGCTGCCGCCGCCTCCTCTGCAAATTTCCCATTTATGGGATTTGCACATTGTTCTATAGACACAGCCCTTGCTTCAGATGGCACTTTAGATTTCCTCCCCAAGTGCCTTTTATCTCTGCAAGAAGGCCGGGGCTCTTCCCTCTGCCAGCCTCAGCGGCAGGTTCACAGGTGTGATGGGGCAGGGCCGGGCCTCAGTAGCTCTCAGCCTTTGAGCCTCCTCCATGTTTTAGTGAGCTATGCAGGGTATGTGCTGACAGGGCCAGCACAATCATTAGGTGGGGTGAGGCTCCTGCCTCAGACAGTATAAGCACCCTGCCTGCCCCATCACCTCCGCTGCAGTGCTAGTGCCAATTTTGGCCAAGACCACACCAATATTGTGCAACATATATTGTGGCGTGTGTAAGATCTTGCTCAAAATCGGCGGCAATGCCAGCGCTGCTTCTCTAGAGTTGGCAGAGGTGGGCAGCACAAGTGGCAGCAACAGGACAAGGCAGCGGGACACACCACCCCTGTGCACTGGGCTCATCAGCAGCTGATGTGGGCAGTAAAGTAACAGTAGCTGGCAAAGTCAAGGCCTACCCCTTATAAAGACTGAAAGAGCTCAAAGTGGGAGACATGAAATGCAGGAAGCTGCCTTATACTGAGTCAGACCACTGATCCATCCAGCTCAGTATTATTCTATACTGACTGGCAGCGGCTGTCCAGGGTTTCAGGCAGGATTCTCTCCCAGCCCTGGAGATTCCAGGGACTGCGCTATGGCCCTTCCCAGCCCTGAAATTGGCTTCCAAGGTTCAACATCCTAGTAGCATATTAATTTAGTAGCAGGCTGGGAAGCACATGAGAAAGGGCCTTTCATGGTGGTGTCCCCACAATTTTGGAACTCTCTTCGAGTTAACATTCATTTGGGCCCATCAGTTCTTTTTGCTGTTGCTTGTCTTTAGGAGAATCTGGAAATCTAATTCAGTATTGGCTATCTGTATGTCTGTATCCACACAGTGCTTCATACTCTGCCTAAGGTTATATTGTTTTAGCTGCCTTTGTAGATTGCTTTGTGGGCTTGGTCCTGAAAAGTGACAAATATATTACTGAAATGAATTAATGAATTAATGAGTTGTAATAGACTCCTATTTCCACCTCACTGCACTTTTAGTGTGTTGTCATTATGTTGCTGTTCCTTATCATACTTTGAATGCTGCCACTTGTTTGCCAATGTATTAAAGTTATACGTAGCTAATGTGCTTCAATGCCCTTTAGTGCGGTTCAACTAATTGTGAAATACTAGTGCCTATCCATGGGTTATTATAGTGTAATTAAAGGCTCCTGGAGAAGTGTTTGAAACAAAAAAGGCTTGACAGGATGTTTCAAAGCCATCACAATGTAAAAAGAAAAGAGTCTCTAAATCAAGACCAAATACCTGGGATCAAAGTTCTGCACTGTGATGAAACTTGCAAGGGAAGCTGTTATAACCTTAATGGGCCTCCCAAATCAGTGGTGGCCCAGCACTGGTCAGCCAGTCTTGGTATGTATCACCTGTAAACTATTGCAATGTGGACAAATAAGTAAATTGAAAATGCTTGGAGACTGGGGCTAGAATGGGATATTTGAATCTGCCCCAGATGGGAACAAGGTGGAGCTTTGCAGCTGATTTCCACCTGCTCTTGGCTTCAGTTCCCCAGCGTTCACCCTTCTGTTCCTCCTCTTCCATATCTACCACCCAAGCGGCACTCTTGGAGCAAACAGCTTTGTTTGCAAAGCGGCAGCTGTTTGGTAGCCTGCGTGATGAGATGCCCCGCTCCTCCACCCTACACAAACTGCTTAGTAACGGCTTTTTCAGCAAGCCCAATCGCCCTGTGGGCCTCTCGAGAGAAGCCGTTAGACCGGCTTTGAGGTTCTGGGTGCCCGTGGCAATTCTAGCGTTTCCTTGGCTTGCTACAGTCTATCTTGCAATTGGGCAACTCTGCTCCAGCTGTTCCCTGTTAACTCATTGAAGGCTCTCAGCATCATAGCTTTTTGAGAATCA